ATAAAAAAAAACATACGCAATCGTCATCACACTGAAAGGCGAAATGTGCAAACGTTTATGGGATATTACAAAGGTGCGATGACGGATCGTACATAGAGAGACTAAAAACTTGTCAATTCGTTGGAATACGATGCGAAGTATGAGAAACTATAACGTCATTTTCGGAATTAAGTTAATTAGTCTTGAAAGTAAATCTCGGATCGTGATTTTCGTAGGACGGCTGCAGCGTAGATCTCTTGCGAATAACTAAACTTAAATCGTTAAACCAGATTACTGGCTCGATCTTGTGGCAACGATTAAGATACCTTATAAACCTAAATAACTGGTATTTAACGACGCGATGTGAAACGGAGAAGCGCGACGATCGACGTGCTTGATCCGCGGCTTGGCTAAATTTCCTGGGGGGGGGGGGGAAGGAAGGAAAAAGATTGATAAGGCAATCTTGCGGAGATATATAATAACAGTAAACTCGCGCACTAACTTAACGCACTACAGTACATCTTGAAATCGAAACTGGTTTAATTCGTGTCACGTGATCCGTATATTCTTTGGCAAGATTGCCTGTTGCGGTTGTCTCGACGAGGATATCGGATCAGGTTAACAACTCGAGTTAATGGGACGATGCACGGGCCGGGAATGTCGGGTTTAGCAAATTGTTTCGACGATTTTATTACTAGATGTGTGTGTGTGTGTGTGTGTGTGTGTGGATCCGCTTGTCGCGCGTGCTTACGAATGAATTAATGAAATGTAGAAACCACGCACACATACCTCGCGTATACTTTACATATTCGTTACGCGTATCGAAATGTAATCCTTTTTTCTAAAATAATGAACCTTATTTTTCCCTGAGGGATGTTACCGTCATTTCTACATTTCAATCTTGGCAAAATAGATTGTAAGTTTGTATATACACGGTCGTCGTTAAAATGTGTACGCATCCGCCGCTCGTGCCGTCGTCATTGGACACATGAGAGACACGGAAAGAGAGAGAGAGAAAGAGAGAGAGAGAGAGAGAGAGAGAGAGAGAGAGAGAGAGAGAGAGAGAGAGAGAGAGAGAGAGAGAGAAAGAGGGACGACATTAAAAATAATTATATTATAATAAGAGTATTATCTTTTTCGGGAGTGTTCGTCTTAAATAGCACAGCCTTTGCTAAACCCGCTTCCGCATTCGCGTCGTAAAAAATTACAAGGTAATTATTTAGATTAACACACCCACCTCCAATAACCTTGGGCTTGACATATGTTGTCAAGGTTACCCTCCTGAGTAACGCTCAGAAGGATTTAGCCGGCGCTCGTTGTTTATTAAAAAGTTATAAACAAAAGAAGTTTCGCAAATGCTATGTAGTTCACGATATCATGTACGTTTAGGATGGCCTCACGTGGAAAGTTTCTGACACCATATACAATTCAAAGAATGTATAAGTGTCTT